GGGTGGGTTTGGGTCGTGACAGAGTGGTATCAGAGCACGTGTTATATCGCACACACAAGTCTATATGAGCTATAGGATGTCCTAGAAAAAAATTAGGGACATTTCATTTGCATGTGTGAGTGTGTGTTAATTTCTGTAAATGTGAAAGTTGAATATGAACATGAATATATGAAATTGAAAAGAATGAATTCGAACTGAATACTCTGAACATTGTGAAAGAGAACTATTTGCGTATGTTTACAATTGCTTTGTTTACCTATAACAAATGGAAAATTCAAGAAGTGACGGTACAAGTAAATCTTTAGAGGCTCACACGAGCCGAATGGAACAAATGCTTGAAGCCCTAACTGAATCTATGAGACAACAACAAAGACAACAACCTCTACCTCCTTCGCCTCCTCCGGTCCAAGTAGAATTAGAAAACAATGATATTATCAATCTAATTCAGAAGTTCATGAATTTAGATACGAGTATCGGGTGCAGATGTGTATTCAAGTATTAGACTTTCATAAATTTAAATTTTATGATCTTGGTGTACATTTCAAAATTAGATATGGATACGGGGACATGTCAAATGCAAATATATATTGCATATTATGTAATATTCTCGGATGAGATGTTGTAAATTATGTAGAAATATATTAGAAATATATAATTTCTATATCTAATTCATGTAGGAGCCTAAAAATATTACTTTACTTCTTCATGTATTGTCACAAATTAAAGGATTTGAGTGTTTGAATTGAGTACGAGGGTGGTCAGTCATATATTTCACACCCTTACTCATATCGTATCCGATGGACATGGGATACTATAGAAGAAATAGAAGAGTCCATATGACACAATCATGTTATATTTCTGCAGTCTTACTTTAAATGTATGTTTCTGAATTATTCTGTGTAAATATATGGTAATTTTCTTATTATTCTGTTTAGAATCATCTTACTTGCCCCTGGTTCTATATGGGAAAATGTTGTAGCCTATTAAGTAAAGTCAATCCTGTAATTCTAAAGAGCAATTTTTTTCTTCTTCTCTAGATTGCTTTGGAAAACACGATTCCTTTCTCTAATTCTGATTCTATTTCTGTTTTTGCCTAGATCTTTGGAGAACATAAAATCACTACAGACACACAGGGTGAATACAGTTTTGAGAGTTGCGAGCAGCTTTGAGCAAATGGAGGTTGATATCTCTGTAAGTCCCAGAGTGAATTCGGTGAAGCCCTCAACGACGTTGGCTATATCTGACCAGGCAGCGGCTTTAGTACAAGCTGGTGTGCCTGTTATCCGATTAGCAGCTGGAGAACCTGACTTCAATACCCCAACTGTAATAGCAGAGGTAATTTTTGACAATTCTCTATATGATTCACTTATGCTTAAAAATAAAAATGTTTCCTAGTTCTTGCACCACTCTTATTGTTGGTCATTTCTTTATTTTTGTGATCTTATAAAAGTAGGCTGGGATTGATGCAATTCGTGAAGGTTACACAAGGTACACTCCAAATGCGGGAACGCTAGAGCTCCGATCAGCTATTTGTCAAAAGTTGAAGGGTTAGTTGATTTGCTATTTGTTCAATGCTTTTCTCCAACTAAACTAACTGTTATTCTGGCCAAGAGATTATTTTTACATTTTATTTTATTATTTTTTTTTTTCCCTTTTTATGGCAGAGGAGAATGGGATCTCTTATACACCTGATCAGATCTTGGTGAGCAATGGAGCAAAGCAGAGCAGCATTCAAGCAATGCTAGCTGTTTGTTCTCCCAGAGATGAGGTGTAGTGTAGTCCATACTTTCACAATCATCACTATGTCTATAAATATGTTCTTTGACTACCATGTGCTGTGAAATGAATATTAGGTTCCTTGTTCCCTGTTTGCTGGCATGGAGTGTGTACTCTTTCTATTCTGTATTCAACTCTCATTGCAAATAAATCACATTTGGATTTGAAACAATTACATCTCAGTTGACTGGACCATTTCTTTCAGAACTCTCCTTCGTTAACGTTGTCAGTTTACAACAAACAGGAAACAAGTTTCAGTTTTTTATCTCTATATAAAAATAAAAATAAAAACAGAAAACTTAATTGGTGTACAAAAATGTTTTGTAAAGAAATAAAAACAAAAATTAGATAAACATGCTTGGTGAGTTGCCGGTGGTGGTGGCCAATGGTGGAGGGTGGAGGAATATGGTGACCCGTGGTGGGGGTGACTGGAGGTGGTTGCTGGAGTTAGTGGTCACGGTGGTGACTGATTGGTTGCTGAAGAGTCACTGGAAGGTGGCCGGAGCTCTCTGATAGTGAGCCGGTGTTGATGGTGCGGGGATGGCTGGAGGTGGCCGCCGAAATTAGTTATCGAAGTGACCGGCTGGTCGCCAAAGAATTACCGGAATGTTGTCAGAGGCTGGCGTTGGGTGGTGATTGGAGGTGGTGGGGGATAGAGGAGAGAGTGGAAACTTATTTTGAAAACCTTTTTTTTTTTCATTTCAAAAAATTTTGGAATCAATTCCATTTTTTGAGAAAACGAAAACAATATACTAAACAAGTTTTTGTTTTCATTTTCCAAAATAAAGGAAAAGAAAATAAGAAAAAGAAACATAAATGTTAACAAACGACCCCTAAGATATCATTGAATTGCTGAGGACAATGATCTTTTCCTGATTGGTGTGGTAATTTGACATGTTGAGTCAGTTGGGTGTCTATTCTGGTACGACTATAGTACGTTGGTGTTATCGGAATCTCTCATCACAATCAATCTTAATAATTAGTGGAAAAGGCCTGCAGTTGGTCATTGCCTGACGCTTTCTTCATGCTTCAAAAGGATAGCAACTTTATTTGGTTTTCTTGACCGTAGTGATTAAGAAAGAATCTAATGGGTCTTGCAAGTTGCAGATCTAAAACAGATAATGACTTTAACTATGGAACTATGGCAAAATAAAAGGAATGGTAGAAAGGGTACTACACACAGTTGATTATATTGAAGAGTTGAGGTTCAGAGACACTATTTTGCAGAGAGGATTGTTCACTAGTGTACCTTTTTGGCACAATAATTTTCGGCTGGTTATCACTTTTCCATGAATTTACCTTCCAGAAAGGAAGAGGAAGAAAAAAGAAGAAAACTACATAATAGGCATGTTTTGTTCTGATGTTTTATTGCCCCTTTCAAATGTTTATATAATGAAGGTTGACACAATGTGGGCACAATCGTATAATCTGTTGGTTACCTAGATGAGGGGTGCTGATTTTTTGATTGTTAGAGTCAAATGTTTGACCTTTGCTTTTGATGGACACTTATTGGCATAGTATTTATTCTTCAGGTTATAATTCCAGCTCCATTTTATGTGAGTTACCCAGAAATGGCAAGGCTGGCTGATGCAATGCCTGTAATTCTTCCAACCCACATCTCCAAAAATTTTCTCTTTGATCCTAAGTTTCTTGAATCCAAAGTGACTGACAAGTCAAGACTGTTGATTCTTTGTTCTCCATGTAACCCAACCGGATCTGTTTACCCGAGGAAACTGCTTGAAGAAATTGCTCAAATTGTGGCAAAGCATCCTCGGCTTCTTGTAATATCACTTGTCATGTAACTTTTGGTGCCTGTACTAGTAGAATTTCAACTTTGTTAACATTTGAGTTTGGGACTATCTTTGGCTGTTCCTTTCAGGTGCTGTCTGATGAAATATATGAACACATTATTTATGCACCAGCGACTCATACAAGCTTTGCATCTTTGCCAGGCATGTGGGAGAGGACTTTGACTGTCAATGGGTTTTCTAAGGTGCTCCAACTCTGTTTCTTTTAAGCTTCTTTTCTGTTTTCATGACATGTCTCCATTGTAGATCATTTTGATATGGTCATAAACCTCAAGTGATGAATCTCAGAAAATGTGGATATTTGTAGACCTTTGCAATGACTGGTTGGAGATTTGGATACCTTGCTGGTCCTAAACACTATGTTGTGGCATGTGGAAAGATTCAAAGTCAGGTATGCCATTTCTTTGCCTCTCCACACCCATCATTTTTATTTGTAAACTCTTACCTAGTTGTATTCTGTAACCTCCATCAATATGTCTGTTAACAACTTCTAGTTCATTGAGAATCAATTTTCTTGAATATGCTTAAGCTTTTGATGATACATTGGATTGTTTTCTCATGCTTTGTTGTGGAGGTTCTGACCTTCTAAAGATATGGAAGATAAAATAATTCTCCTCTTGTTCTTTCTCACTGATGAATGTTGAGATTTGAAGCAATTGGATAGTTGAAATGGCAGCATGTCTTAAGAATGCTGACTACGCGATTCGTACCAATTTTATCTGATGCAGTCATTACTTTGGCCCTAGGTAATCATGGATCAAAATGGCTTGGACGTGCATCTTATGCATGTTGTTTGATGATTTTACAATTATTCACACAGTTAGTTATGTAATATTTGTACTTTGTAAACCTAATATATGTAACAGTTAATGTTTGGACCCAGGGCTTCTAAGGACCCAAGAACTTTTCTTTTAAGGACCTTTAAATTAGAGTCAAAGCTTCCTTTTATAAGGCCAAAACATCAGGGCTTTGATTTCCACCAGCTTAGGCCATTCAAGACTTTAAATATAATGGTCACTGTTATTTCACTCTCTACTAATGGTTTGCAAATGCATTGCTTTGCTATTGAAATATAGAAGTTTAAAAGTCATGGTAATTTATATGATATATCTATTTATATGGGATATATTTTGTCACGATATATTGTAATATTTATTGATTTTTTAAAAAATGTTAAAAAAAAATGATGCAATATATCAATATGTGATATATCGCGATATTGGACAATGATTTGCTAATAAGTTGGTAACAGTATATGTTCAGTAAAAACTGCTTGAAATCTATTGCAGACTGCAGTGTTGATTATTAGCGCTCCATTGCGATTGGTTATTTTAACATGGCAATTTTAATTTTTTTATACATTCATGGAAGCATGTCCTCGCCTTATTATCAACAAGCTCAATCTAATTTGTGCATGTATCATTCCAGTTCACTTCAGGTGCCAGTAGCATATCCCAAAAAGCAGGTGTTGCTGCTTTGGGACTGGGTTATGCTGGTGGGGAATCAGTTTCTACTATGGTTAAAGCATTTCAGGAGCGGCGAGATTATTTAGTTAAGAGTTTTGGAGAATTGGAAGGTGTTAAAATATCAATACCCCAGGTATGGACTTTATTTATTTTGCATACATATTTGGTGTTTAAAACCAATGGTTAAGATTTGGCTTAATTGTAACATTCTTGAAAGCTTTTTTGTATATTCAATTGTATCAAAGATTACAATCAGACCTTAGATTATATAGCCCTAAATCCTAAACCAAAAAGGAAAATACAAATACTACAAATACAATTATAATTATGTCTCTAACAGGACTCTAATACAATCGTGCCTCTAATAGGACTCTAATTTGTAATACACAGGATAATATATTCTATATTCTCACACCCCCGCTCAAACTCAAGGTGTTTTAGCAGAAAACACTGAGAGTTTGCTAAGAAGAAACTGAAACCGAGCGGTAGTGTGAGTCTTGGTGAAGAAGTCCGCAAGTTGCAAAGTCGAAGGAATGAAAGGAAGTGAGATAGAGGCAGACTGCAGATGTTGGCGAACAAAGTGACAATCAATCTCAATATGTTTCGTCCGTTCATGAAAGACAGTATTGTGGGCAATCTGAACAGCACTGCGATTGTCACAATAGAGAGAGGTCGGAGAAGACTGAGAGACACCCAAATCAGACAAGAGACAATGAAGCCAAACAATCTCAGCAGTGGCATGAGCCATAGCACGATACTCAGCTTCGGCAGTAGAGCGAGCAACGACTGATTGTTTCTTGCTTTTCTAAGAGATTAAAGAATCTCCAAGAAACATACAGAAACTAAACGTAGACTTATGATCAGTAACATCACCAGCCCAATCAGAGTCAGCATAGGCCACCAAGTCCAAAGAGGAAGTAGAGGACAACAATAAGCCCTGAAAGATAGTACCCTTGAGATAGCGAAGAACGCGAACCACAAGAATAGCATAAGCAAGGTCAGGACGAGTAACAGTCAAATAAACTAAACAACCCACAAGTTCGCGATATAAAGTGGGATCATCCAGAGGGACACCATCAGTAGAGTTAAGCTTTACATTAAGCTCGATAGGTGTATCAGAAACCTTAGTATCAGTAAGACCAGCACGATGAATGACTTCATTAGCATACTTAGCCTGAGACAGGAAATAGCCCTTGGGAGAAGAAGCAACCTCGATACCAAGAAAATACCGTAATGGACCCAGATCCTTCATTTCGAAGGTGCGGAAGAGATGCTGCTTGACCTCAGAGATAGCAGAAGAGTCCGAGCCAGTGATGATCATATCATCCACATAGAGCAAGAGAGCAACAAAACCAACCGAGGTATGTCGCAGAAATAAAGCAGAGTCGGAAGCAGAAGGATGAAACCCAAGCTCGGTAACAGCAATCTGGAATCAATCATACCAAGCACGAGGAGACTGTTTCAGACCATACAGAGCACGCCGAAGACGACAAACCTATCCAGAGGGATAGTGAAGGCCAGGGGGAGGACGCGTGTAAACCTCCTCAGTGAGATGGCCATTAAGAAAAGCATTCTTAACATCCATCTGATAAAGAGGCCAAGAACAAACAGCAGCGACAGAAATCAAAGTACAGACAGTAGTCATTTTGGCAACAGGAGCAAATGTCTCCTCATAATCAATACCATATTCCTGAGAGAAACCTTTGGCAACCAGACGAGCTTTGTAACGCTCAAGAGAGCTATCAGAATGAGTCTTGACTTTGTAAACCCATTTGCAACCAACCAGGTTCTTACCAGCAGGTAAAGGAACCAACTCCCAAGTACTAGTTTTCTATAAACCAGACAACTTATCCTCCATAGCTTGAACCCAATGAAGATCTTGACAGGCTTCCTTGTAAGATTGAGGTTCTACAAAAGAGTGACTAGCAGACAAAAAAGTACGATAGGAAACAGAAAAACAAGTATTAGACCAACCCAACCTGTTTGGAGGATAACGTGCTCGAGGAGGATATCGGTGTGCAGTAGGATCAGAGTCGTCAGAAGCAGGAGGATCAGCAGTAGGGATGGAGACAACTGGTGAAGGAGGAGCCTTACGACGAGAATAAACTAACAACGGAGGAGGAGAAGAAACTAAAGGAGGAGAAACAGCCAGCGGTGAAGCAGGAGGAGAAGATGAAACAAGCTCAAGAGGAACTGTGGAGATGTACTCATCAGACGGTACCTCAGAAGGAAATGGGTCAATGTGAACCAAATCCTCTTTGAAAACTGGAACAGTAACAAGAGGAAGCTGAAAGTAAGGCAGACGTTCGAGAAAAGAAACATGACGAGAGACATAAAGACGATGGGAAACAGGGTCGTAACACCGATAGCCTTTTTGAGTAGGACTATAACCCAAAAAGACACAGAGGACAGACCAGGCACTAAGTTTGGTCCTATCTTTGCGGGGAAGAAGGACAAAACAAGCAGACCCAAACACACGAAGGAGGGAGTAGTTAGGAAGTTGGGAGAACAAAGCCTCATAAGGAGATCGACTAGAAAGAATAGGAGTAGGCATGCGGTTGAGAAGAAAAGCAGCAGTAAGAACTGCCTCCCCCCAGAATGGAACCGGAACTGAGGCAGAGAGAAGAAGAGACCTAGCTGTCTCAAGGAGATGACGGTGTTTACGCTCGGCTCGACCATTTTGGGCAGGGGTATCAATATAAGAGGTTTAGTGAATGGTGCCCAATTTGGCCAAATACTCACAGAATTCAGTTTTAAAGTATTCCCCACCCAAGTCAGACCAGAGTATTTTAATTGTGGCCCCAAACTGTGTAGTAATCATAGACTGAAAGGTACAATATATCTGATAGAAGTCAGACTTATGAGTCATAAGATAAACCCAAGTGTAACGAGTGCAATCATCAACAAATGACACATAGTATGCAGAACCCCCCTTGGTGAGAATAAGAGAAGGGCCCCAGACATCGGTATGAACTAAAGAAAATGGTGTAGTAGATATAGAAGTACTGTTACGGAAAGGTAAGGCTGTCATTTTGGCAAGTTTACAACCCCGACACTCGGTAAGTTGACTAGGAGAAACTTTGCCCAATATACCTGACTGAGCTAAAGACCGTAAGCGGTCAACAGACAAATGCCCTAATCTGGAATGCCACAAATAGAAATGACTGGACAGAGAATCTAACTGAAAAGAAAAAAAGGCAATCGGAGAGGTAGTCATAGGCAGATGCAAGCTCTCCACCACATAGAGGTCTCCAACTCTACGACCAGTCCCAATCTGCTGCTTGGACATCCGATCCTGTACAGAACAAATAGAAGAAGAAAAGATAACATCAAAACCAGAGGCATCAAGTTGACTAATAGATAATAAACTGACAGATAACTGAGGAACATATAAAACAGATAGAATAGAGACTGCAGACATAGCAGACGGTATGACAGACCCAACAGATATAACTGACATACCAGACCCATTAGCAGCATTAACAGTAATAGGAAACGGAGGAGAAGTGCAATTTTGAAGTAAGGAGAGATGGGGAGTCATATGATGAGAGGCACCAGAGTCAAAAAGCCAGACAGACGAAGAAATACCTGAAGAAGACCCAAGCAAACCTGAATGAAGAGAGGAAACAATGGAGGTAGATGGCGATGGTTGGGAGTTAGACAATATATGCCGAAGCTGACTAATCTGAGCAGTCAAGGAAGTCAAGTCAGGATCAGGAATCGGAGCAGATGCAGTAAAATCGACAGGAGACTGAACAGACAGACATCCATTCTTGGGATAATGGTACTTCCAATGACCCCTTTGATGGCAGTAGGCACACTCATCTGAAGCAAGGAGTCCTTTCTTGGTTTTTACAGAAGCAGAAACTGTCATCATCATAATAAACTGAAAGCTAATGGGGGCAACAAAACCAATATATCCAACATCACAGTGTAAGAACCAAAAGGGTATGAAGTCTAAATGTAATATCATAAAATAATATGACAATAACCCAATATTAGAGGATTTCAGATGCAAAAATCCAATGGGTCGAACCAGCCTCAAACATAACCCTTTCGAGTGAGAGAAGCTAAGAGGTAACTTCACTTCGATACAACCAACAGATGCGACGAAGAAACCACAGAACCATACACCAGGGACAATCGCGAGGCAGAGAGCAGCGAGAAGAAGTCGCGAGTCAAAGACTTGCGAATCAGCTAGGTCGCGAAATCTGTCTAGAGAGCTTCGAACCAGAGAGAGAACTAGAGGTTTCGACAAACTGAACTAGAGATGGGTCGAAGTCTTGCAAAACCAAGATGGATTGACCACGAAGGAGAGCCAGAGAGAGAAGACGAGCTGTGAAGAGGCGATGACTAGATGGGTCGAACCGTTGGATGGGTGCGACTACCAAATAGCACAAACAGAGAAGAAATCCAGATGGGTTGACTGAGACAAAGCACAACCACGAGCAGATGGGTCATGAACCAGAATGAGCAGATGAGTCGACTGAGATGAGGCACAAACACGAACAAGAGAGTAATAGAGACGACTCTAGGGTTTCGGATCAGAGAACGGCTCTGATACCATGTAAGATTCTGAATAGCTTTCTGTATCTCATATATTCAATGTGTGAATGATTACAATCAAACCTTAGATTATATAGCCCTAAATCCTAAACCAAAAGGGAGAATACAATTATGCCTCTAATAGGACTCTAACACAATCATACCTCTAATAGGACTATAATAGAAAATACACAATATATTCTCACACCCAACCAATACAACAAACTCGACCAAATTTTCCAAACATAGGGCCAATGAAGAAGAAGATAATTCATAGACTCATCACAAGAATGACAAAATTGGCAAACTACGTTTGCATTAGGCCCAATCACACCAATATTTCAAAGGAACGTAGCTGATTTGACTCTATCCTTCCAAGTAAGCCATCCAAGGAATTGGACCTTTAGGTAACAGACATTATTCCATAGCAGTTTTGACACATCAATTTTTACCTCCAAACAAGATTCACACCATTTTTTTTTTTTTTTGACATGCAAAAGAAAGAATTTTATTGATAAAGGATAAGGTACAAGAAACAAACTAAGGGAAGAAAATGCATCATAGCTTTACAATTGCATCCCAACTAGGTTGGCACCCAAAATGAAAGCAAAATCATGTGCAATCCCACAGGAAAACACTAGGAAAAAAGCAATCTGAAACTGAATGAAACACAATGCAGTTGATAGGAGCGACTATACTTATTTTCTTTACTTTTTTTTTCTTTGTTTTTTTTTTATTTGATTCTTCTAACCTAATCAATGTGAAGGAGAAAATCATTGATAGAAAAACCAAGGAAACCAGATTTGGATTTGACCCAAATGGCAACATGAT